ATCAATGTGTCTTCGATCATACATATTTGAATTTAATATTTTTTCTACTGGCTTTTGATTAGGTTGATTATGTGTACTACATAGTTCAATAAAATAATAGACATTATCTGGAATAGTATTTAATGAAACTGTGGATTTTTCATTTTCACTAAAATGGAACTAGTAATTACCATCTTAAGTATTTTTTCAAAGTGAAAGGATATTTTCATTTTTATTCGATATTTTACTAAATATAACAGAATTCAATGCCGATTCAATGTATAACTAGAAAAAGGAACATTTTTTAAACTCGTTTATTTTCAATAAAGTTTTATAGTCTCTACTAAATCAATCAAAACAACTAAATAAAATACTAATGTACTGTGTCTGATAAATCCACTAGTTAATCCCATATGAAACCTGCCACATAAAAATAATGATTAGACCTCATATAAATTACCACGCCGCCCATGACATACAAAGAAACTGCCGACGTCCGGTAACTACTGAATTTTCATGCCATTTGAATTGACTTCGTATATACTATACTGGAAAATATGTTGAAGCATTGGATAATTCCGTAGAATATATAAAATTTTGCATTCACAAATAGTTCGTGAGTAGTCTGTTTTGTACGTTTTTGTTTATTTTTTCACTTGTTATATTGAAGGGAATAGACAAACATTTTCTCACGAATGATAATGAAAGAAAAAGAGTTAAAAGAAGAGAAAATAAGAGTGAAAAGACGAATAAAATAAACTAAAGAAAAATATTGGGAAACCTCTTACGCACTTGATATAAGCACAGTCCACTCATTCACTTTGGAGTCCTCATTGTATTTTACTGAATAATTTTCGTTTCGAAAAACAACGTGACGAACGTAACTACGAAATAATACTCCTTTTTGTCCGTACGACCATGTGGTAAGAACTCCAGATGCACTACTTACTCTACGGTAATCGAAGAAAACAGTAAGCAAAACCTTAACATTGGAACGAACTTGTGCTTGGCTCTCCTAAACTTGAGCGAGCCAGGGAATAACGAGGTCTTACTTTTTTACGTACGCTCCCCAACACGTTTATGCTTTTATTGCTGTTTGGCTTCTGGTATTACACATAATTTTCTGCTCTGTTGCTTTTTTCTTCGAGCAATTACTAAAATTTTGTCTTTATGGCATGCCAAGCTAATATAAATAGAATTTATCATAAATTTCTCTCGTTGAGTGCCCTTCACACAACTGCATAATTAGTGCTCGTAAGGTGGGATGGAGAACACGTATACATTGTGACTAAGTTACTTAGTTCTGCGTTCACCACGAAATTTTAGGAATTTGAAAAGACTAATTCCACCAAATTGTACATTATTTTGTCCTACCGTCAGATATGTTCATCCCTCCGTCGACTAGTTCAACAAAACCAAGGTTTTTTTATTGTATACGAAGTTCGAAGGGCGTAAAGACTAAATAGTTACCGAACGTCGGCAGTTTTTTTGTATGGACGCATGGACAGCGTGATAATTCATACGAGGTCCAATCATTATTTTCATGTGGGAGGTTTTGAATGGTATTAGGTAACTAGTAAGTAAATTTATCAGACTAGCCTCCCGTTGAGTAATTATTGTTTTTGAATTCACGAAATTTAGCGGTATCTGATAACCCTTCACTTGAAACCTAAACAGTTTCTATATTTTTTATATACTATATCTAACAATGTTTTTTTCTTTATAGTGAACAATCCATTGCAAGTGCTAGGGCAAGTGTGATGATATATGATGATATAAATAAAAAATGGGTACCATCGGGATCGTCTTCAGGTCTTTCAAAGGTTCATATATATCAGCATACGGTGCACCAGACGTTTCGGGTGGTTGGAAGAAAGCTTCAAGACCATGAGGTGAGTATGGATGGAGGATTTAGTTCTGCGTTCACCACGAAATTTTAGGAATTTGAAAAGACTAATTCCACCAAATTCTACATTATTTTGTCCTACCGTCAGATATGTTCATCCCTCCGTCGACTAGTTCAACAAAACCAAGGTTTTTTTATTGTATACGAAGTTCGAAGGGCGTAAAGACTAAATAGTTACCGAACGTCGGCAGTTTTTTTGTATGGACGCATGGACAGCGTGATAATTCATACGAGGTCCAATCATTATTTTCATGTGGGAGGTTTTGAATGGTATTAGGTAACTAGTAAGTAAATTTATCAGACTAGCCTCCCGTTGAGTAATTATTGTTTTTGAATTCACGAAATTTAGCGGTATCTGATAACCCTTCACTTGAAACCTAAACAGTTTCTATATTTTTTATATACTATATCTAACAATGTTTTTTTCTTTATAGTGAACAATCCATTGCAAGTGCTAGGGCAAGTGTGATGATATATGATGATATAAATAAAAAATGGGTACCATCGGGATCGTCTTCAGGTCTTTCAAAGGTTCATATATATCAGCATACGGTGCACCAGACGTTTCGGGTGGTTGGAAGAAAGCTTCAAGACCATGAGGTGAGTATGGATGGAGGAGAATTCGATTTTTTGCTCAATGATTAGGAAACTCGACTCCGCCCTTTTATAAGATTGTTTCAAAAGTCCGTTTTTATTAGTCTACGTTGAACTGTAATATATTGAGTTTCTAAGTGCTTGAGAAGATGCTAGTTGGTTGGTGAGAGGATCCTTAAAAACTTGGCCAGCACATTCTCATGTGCAACAGAGTTCCAGAATAACTGCACTAATTTCATATTTTCGTGATTTTTATATGAACACTTCTATTGATTGACCTTCAAGATCGGGGTTAGTTTGTTGTTATGTTCATAGTTCTACTCATAAAGCTTCGGCAAAGTGAAGTAAACAAAAACATCATTAGAGGCTTAGAACATCCTTACTATATGATATTTTTCAAATATACATGTGATTCATCGTTAATGCATTGGTTTCCATTGATGTAATTTAATATGAGACCTATTAGAATTGTTGAAAAATAGCACTAGCCTGCAAATAAAATTGAGAGCTGTTTTGTTTTTTTTGCGTAATTTTTATGTTTTTGGGTGTGCTGAATCCGACTCATTTTGTCTAACAATCTATATTAACAAAGTTATCATCTAAAAATTAAAGACTAAACATATTATGTATGATTCCGTAACAAAAGTTTTATCTCAAATATATTCAGTGGTAAGCACTAAACATGTTTCTTTTTCCCAGTGAGATTCCTTTTGGTACATTATCGTTTGTAGAAAGCATATAGAAAGTCTCTTTGAAGCGTCCAACAGTCTGCCATCATTGAGACGCTCCAGCTCCCCTGGTATATTTTTTCCATCTTCCTAATATCTTGGAGAAACCTTACTCTTCACTCACATCTGAATTTTCTGGAAAGTAGTCGAGGTGGGAATGAAGAAAATGTACTTCAAACCTCATTAGGCAACCTAAATCTTGAAATGCTTTTAATAGGTTCATACAGTGATTTGCTCAGTCTCTTCTATTCCACAGACACAAAAAGCAAGGGTATTTTGTAAACCCAGATGGCTATCCGAGCAACATGTCCAAGATTTTTAAATCACCGTACATTTTCCAACCGTGGTCTCTATATTTCAATTTGCAAAGAATCAATTCCAGGTTCTTGTAGGTGTACGGAATGACCGACAGGAATGCAGGCATAGGAACCGCCATTGTGAAGCAGAACTGCTCCAAGGCTTCTTTTTGAAGCATCTATGAAAATACACCACTGTGCTGGGCCATATTAGACATTAAATGTATCCATGACACCTTCAATATTGGTACAATAAACCAACTCGTCCTCTGGGGGGGCAAAGTAGGGAACAGGATGTTCTTTATTTGGAACACTTTTTATCGTATATTAATGACCTTTTGGAAAAAAACAATAATACAGTATATTGCTTTGCTGACAGCAGCACACTTGTCTCGTCATTCACCGCCATCTTCACTGGCAACAGGAGGTTGCATATCTCAGTGATGATCTAGAAGTGTTTTCGAATTGAGGTGCAAGTAACCAGGATCGATTCAATGCCACAAAAACCCCGGCAACGGTTTTCTCCAAGAAGATAAATGTTTCCGAACCAGATATAATAATGTCAGGTCAGACAATTCCGCTTTCTGCTTCGATAAGTTGGTTGTGGGTTTTGTATCTGTAGAGTAGGGAAGGTGAGTGTAAGGCCACAGCACTTAGGCCACATGTGACTCATTGTCCTCCTAAGTCATCGTCCATTCTGTGCTTTCCAGGAAGATGGACAGGTCACTGGGAGACATCTCCTTTATATCGGCAGGTGTAGGCCAAGACTCGCCAAGCATACACTCTCTTATTGACGATAACTCCGGGCACTCGCATAGGACATGCTTGACAGTCTCATCTTCCTGTTCACACATCCTGTATAAAGGTGTGTCCACTAGCCCCATATTATGGAGGTGTTTCCTCAGTTGACAGTGGCCAGTCATAAATATTACTGTTTAGGGTAGATTTTTCCTGGTCATCGCCAGATATTTCTTCGGCGCCAGCTTTTCAGGGTCGCCCAGGATGATACTGACAAAATTGCATCCTTTGATTCCATCCCATCTCTTTAGGGATTGAGCATGGGTGTAACACTTGGCTAGTGCCGTAGGTGCCACTGGGTCCTAAAATTCTTAGTCCCGCCACTTCCTTGGCTAAAGAGTCGGCAATGCGATTACCTTTACTCCTGTCGTGCCCTTTAACCCGCCTCAGGATAATGTTATTATCTACCGAGGCTTTGGCTAAATCTTGGTGGCACTCTAGTACTAGCCCTGAGGTAACACGTTGTCTGTTCAAAGCTAATAGTGCTTGTCTGCTGTCAGTACAGATTGTTATGTTTTTGCCAGAAATTCCTTTTCTGGTGATTTCTTTTGTGGCGATTGAGATACCAGCCAGTTCTGTTTGGACCATGCTGGTATTTTTCCCATTCCACACTTAATCCTTAGGCTTAGTGATCTGGAGTACACTCCACATCGAGCCTTCTTTGGTTTTTGAGCCGTCTGTATATATGCGTATTGCATTTGTAGCATCTGACTCTGTGTTCTGTTTTATTTGTATTTTGTAGGGTTTATTAAACACAAACCTAGGTTCAATTGTATCACTGGTTGCCTGAAGCAGAGGTTGCGCAGTAAGCGTTTCCCCCCATAGGCTCAGCCTCAATTGACCCATTCCTACTTACAGGTTTACACCAGCCGTGCGCAATCGTAACATGGCCATTAACGCAACCTCCTTAACGTACAGGTCCAGAGGGGTCAGACACGTAATTAATTCCATTGCCGCGGTTGGTGTTGTTCTCATGGCTCCTGTGATGTTTAACAAGCCAGTTGCTGTATTTAGATGGCCGTTGCTTGTAGAACTTTTGGTCTCCATGCAATGGCTCCGTATGTTAACATAGGTCTTATCATTCTGTAGATCCAGGTGACCACACGGGGTGAAAGACCCCATGCGCGTCCCAATGTCTTCCGACATTGCTCATAAGCCATATATGCTCTTTTTGCTATACTCTGTAGGTGAGAGTTTCATGTTAGCTTCCTGTCGAGGATAGTACCAAAGTATTTCACTTCTTCAGAGAAATTTAGTTTGCTTTTGAAAATTTCGGGAGGTCTTAAGCCCGATAAACTTCTTTTCCTGCTGAAGAGGACCATATCAGTCTTCTTGGGATTGATCGACAGTGAGAGTGCTTTACACCATGTTTCTATTAATTTGTGTCCATCCTGCGCTCTATCGCACAGTGTATTCACAAATTTGCCGGTCTGCAAGATAACTATGTCATCTGCATATGCAATTGTGTAGAATCTATTATTGTTGAGGTGATTAATCAGGGTATCCAGAATTATGTTCCAGAGAAGGGGTGTGGGTTGAAATAGACACCAATTTGTCTTGGCACAAACATGTCGCTGGAATTGCAAAGGCTGCTTCTCAAAAGCTTGGAACACTGTTCCGAACCAGAAAACTGTACAGCCCCCAGTTACTTTTGATGCTTTATAAAGCTCAACCTTGATAGTCTGGAACATCGAAGAAAGGTTGAAGATTTGTCTCTCTTTTATAGATACTTTCACAAGAAGTGTTCAAGTGACTTGGCACATTTGATTCTACCAAGAGCTATACATATCAGAGATACGCAACGGTCTGTGGCTGATCATCGTTTTGAGGTTCAACTTAGTACACCTCGAACTTCACTGTTTTTAAGAACTCTATCATTTGGATAACTGCGTTTATGTGGAATAAACTTCTTGAGAACGTTTTCCTAAATGGATTTAATCTCCTGAGACTCAAATCCAATGTGAATCACTACTTTCGCACAGGCACCGCTCTAAGAGCGCCTTTGAGGATTTTCCTGTAGTGCTTGTGTTTTGTCCTTAAAAAAAAAGACAGTTATGATAGTTATGGCCTATATACATTTAAAAACAGTGATGAAAATAAAATTGTAACTATTTATTTACGACTTCAAGTTAGCTTAAAAACTCCTCCTAATACTATTTTGCGTTTTGTAAAATAACCTGACGTTCTGAAATTTTTTGAGTATTTTTTTAGTTTTCAGTATCAGTACACACATAAGAATCAATTGAAAACACCCAGACAGTTTTTTGTTGCAGACTTGTGTAGTCTAGAAAGTTATTTTTAGTGACTATGTTTTCTAAAATTTTCACTTATTGTTATTTCGTATTCAGCCGTTCGAAATGCATTAAAACCTCATCCGGTATACCTGATAATGATAATTAGCAACACCGAACTTTACTTTGGCGTGTAAATGATCCTATCTTGAACAAATATCGGTTTTAGAGCTTTTAAAATATTTCTTGTATTAGTTGTTGCATTATAGCAGTCGCCACTCCAGACAATCGCTGAAATTGCAATCTTTCGGCCATTCAGTAAAAAATAATCTTTTGAAAAGAGTCGTCGTCGTATTTCAGGTTGTCATCAACTGTGCCATTCTAAAAGGACTGAAATACAATCAAGCCACATCCACGTTCCATCAGTGGCGAGACAATAAGCAAGTTTATGGTTTGAATTTCAGTTCCAAGGAAGACGCGGATTGTTTTGCCAGGGCGATGTTTCATTCATTAGAAGTAAGTAGAGCTGTGCTTATTATTTCTGTTGTTTGCGAGGGCTCTTGGTAAGATTTTCTCGTTATGAACAGCGGTCGTTAGCGGTAGTTTTCCCGGTTGAACGGGCGGATGAAAAGCGAAGTTTTGGTTGCTTTAGTTTGTTTCCGATTCGTCGCAGAAAATTAATATAGTTTTGTGAGACTGTGAGACAGTTTTAGTATTGACTTTCACAATATCTTGCTCTCTGACAAGGTGCCGTGATAATTTATTTATAGATCAATTCAACCTCTTTTTTTTATGTGACTAATTTGAAATTGTCGAACCCTAAATTCATCATAAATAAACTTCAACTCTGGAGCCCCAAACGCCTGAATAACAAACTCCTAAACAGTGTTGAAAAGCAGTTTTGCGTTAATTTTTTTTTTTCAAAAATAATAAAACATGTTGAGGTTTTGTAAACTGAGAGTTTACTACACAGTTTACAAAACCGCAACACGTGTTTCGCTATTCAATACCTTCTTCAGGCGTGTGTATATAGTATATACAGTATATAACACATGAGCTGAACAAAAGTACTGTCATTCTCAGCACAATAACTCACAAACTCTAACGATACTGTGCTTTGAATATCATCAATTTTCATCATGGATATATTCCAAAAGTAAGCACTTCCTAACAGTTACACTAATTTTCAAATATTCCAAATCCAATTTCGTTATGATGTAAACGGCTGATAGTTGACGTAATTCCATAACACACTATACAGATTACAAAACAGCAACACGTGTTTCGCTATACAATATCTTCTTCAGGTGTGTCTATATAATATGGGTAGTGTAGTGTAGTCTATATAGCTTTTTCAGGGGTGTATATACTATATAGACTATACTGTGTACACTATAAAGAATATACTGTCTATACTATACTGTATGATATACTTATACTATACAGCATGTACTATATACTATACTGTCTATATAGTATATGGCTTCTTCGGGGGTGTATATACTATATATGCTATACTGTTTATGATATACTGTATATGCTATACTGCCTATACTGTTTATACTATGAAGAATATACTGTATATACTTGCTGCTGTACTATATACAATACTGTCTATATCGTATATGGCTTCTTCGGGGGCCATATACTGACTGTTTATACTATATAGACTGTACTATCAAGACTACACTGTCTATACTATGAAGACTATAATGTCTATACTATAGAGGATATACTGTTTATACTATAGAGACCTTCTGTTTATGCTATACTGCCTATACTATACTGTTCATACTATGAAGACTATACTGTATATACTTACTGCCTGTACTGTCAATATAGTATATGGCTTCTTCGGGGGGGTGTACATACTATATAGACTATAATGTTTATACTATAGACACTATACTGTTTATAATATAAATACTATACTGTCTATACTATACTGTTTATATTATGAAGACTATACTGTCTATACTATACTGTCTGTACTATATAGACTATACCGGTTACACTCTAGAAGAAGGATAATATGTAGTGACTGTCAGTTTGATGATACTCTAATAGTCCAGTAATTTTAGTAAGTTTAGTAGTAATGGTTGACACCATTAAAGTTGTATCAAAACCTATATATTGTAGGGTGTATGCGACTAACAAATTCTAAGGTCACAAAAACAAATTTTATCACATTTTTTGCAAATATCTCGTTTCCTATAGGTTTTTCGCTAGTATCAACGTGTATTTTGACACCCTTAAAGTTGTATCAAAACCTATATATTGTAGGGTGTATGCGACTAACAAATTCTAAGGTCACAAAAACAAATTTTATCACATTTTTGCAAATATCTCGTTTCCTATAGGTTTTTCGCTATTTGTACTCATGACCAATACTGTAGAGGATTAAATTCCCTACAGCTTTTTCAGAATCTTATTTATATTAAAAGTTTTTTCAGAGGTACCTTGAATAAAAAATGAAAAATTGTGTCACTGTCGCCTCTAATTTCATTGGTATTGCAAAAATTATGTACAGGATATCCTATTTTGTGGTATTATGATATCAGTATATACGAGTACATGGTTTGTTTTTTCCTATTGCTCATGTTTTATATCACTTTCAACCACAGACATAATATACGAAGAGAATGTTAACGTTTCATGTGTATCTACTTCACCAAGTTGATTTATTTCAAGTTGGACAAACTTATTCTTTCCTATTTTCAAAAAAGAAGAAAATAGATATAACTTTTCGCCGAAAAACAAATAGCTTGTTAATTTCCCTAACGATGTACTCCTTTCTTATCGAAATTTTGCGCGCACATGTCAGCAATTTTATTGGAATGGAACAGTTTATTCTGAGAAGTTTGTTTTCCATAATTATAGTCGTCGTTAGTAGTTCAACTTGAAACTTGCAGTTAAAATGTGTTTATTCTTGAAATGTTGTGGTTGTTATTTGAATCGTAAAAAGAAGAAAAATAGCTACCAACCTTTAATTGGTTATAACATAGAATCTTCTTCGGTTTGTGAATTATTGATTTGGTACTTTTTTTTATAGAATAGTAAAAGCTAGAGTTGTATCAATATTTTCAATATTAACATACGCAAAAGGTCACCTCAAAGGTAACAAATACAGTTGAGGNATACTCATAAAGGTCACCTCAAAGGTAACAAATACAGTTGAAGGTCAATACTCTTCAAAACATATCTAAAACCATTGAAATATTTTCCTAGAAAGGGCGAAATCACATTTTTCGAATCTCATTAGAAATGGTTCATAATATCACACATAGTTAGATTTAAAATAATTATTATTCAAAAAGTTCCACCTGAAGAAAACATGTTTAATCACAGTGTTGAGATAATACATCAGTTCCCAAATAAGTCGACTAAAATGTTCATTTACAAATTAATAACAGAGTAGAGATAATCGAACAAATATATAGTATGCTCCAACTAAGACGAGTCAGCGCAGAAACGGAAAATCGTTCTGTGTTAAAAGACTCTCCCCACTTAAGTCATATTTCGCCAATGTACTATGAACATCAGTTTGTGTGACCAATAGTTATCTTCTGGGGCGGGTACAATTTGGTTTTAAATGATGACACGTGTAAAGAACCAACTAGTTACCAAAAAAGATATGATTACAATTCACTTAAGGCACAGTTTTAAAATACGAAATATATTCATTTTGCTCATCCAAGAATTTGATAACAAGTAACACTTTGTTGTGAGATTTCACACTAGATAATTTATAAAACTGCAACACATCTTTCGCTATATGAAAGCTTCTTCAGACTTATGTTGCAGTTTTGTAAACTGCTCACAACCAGTGTTAGGTATTATTATACCATTGTAAATTTGATTACATGAACGTCTCTAATGAATCAAAATGTTTTAATTTGCAAGAAAGATTTGTACTGCATATGTGTGTCAAAACACAATTGGGGTTCCGAATTAGTTGAAGAGTAAGAAAAACATTTCTGTAAAGTCATAAATGAATGTGGTTAATGTGATTTAAAATTTTATTTTGATCTTTTTAGGGCACTTGAATAAAAGCTTGTATCATTATTTCATTCCTAATCTGGTCAGTAAACCTTTTGATTTGATACTCATATCATGGCAGTACATTAAGTACACTAAGTACCATATTGGATTCATTGTGACGTCAATTAGCTAACGATGCATTACCATCCAAATTGAACTTGTATGCAAAATTCAGCTCAATCGGTTGAACGAAACTTCTTTAAAGTATATACAGTTTTTGCTTAAATAAAAGCATGTGAAAGTCCCATATGGCGCGAACTTCATTGGTGTCATTGTATATAGAGGTTATATATAATACATATATTCCGTAGAGGTGCATATGAGAGGAGAAAATGCCCTTGCCTCTCATGTGAAACCTGCTATTTTGTAAATACAAGTGGCAGATACCTAACAAAAAAACAACAGCTTACCCAGCTAATGCCACACAGAAAGCTGAAGTAAAACCATCAGGCACCTGTGCAACGTCTTCCATTTGGAAGATTCGTCGCAAGTAACTTCATATATATGAAAAGCTGAAATTGATTTCAGCCTTACTTCGAAATCGTTCTGTTCACATGAGAGGCAAGGGCCTTGGTATTTTCACCAGAACCTTAGCATTGCAGCGACCCTGTTGAACATTACTTTTTCAACAAACACATTATTGTTATTATTATTATATTCTCCTAGATATGTTTCTAACCTTTTTTACAACTTTATAGGTACTTAGCAACGTAGTTAGGCATACTGCTCCATCCCAATATGCACCACCCACCCCGCAAGTTCAGCAAATTCCTCAACAACAACAGCAGCAGCAGCCCCCTCCCCAGATTCAGATGCAACAGCAGCATCAGCCGCCGCAGCCCCCTCAGATGCCTCTGCAGGCCCAGTACGACGAAGACATGGGATATCGCACAATGACCCGAGAAGACGTAGCCATTCTCCAAGAAAGGAGGATATCGACCAACGTGATATCTCCCCAGCCCACGTCGCCCATGACTCCGCAACAAAACAACGTGCCTGTGCCCCCCGTGATGCCCCACGGAGCTCCCAGTCCGGTATCACCTCCTCAGATGGCTCCAGCTAGTCAACCCGGGCATCAGCGCGCTGTGAGCGGTCCTCCAGCTCCTCCCCCACCTCCTGGACCTCCGGGGCCGCCGGTTGCGGCCGCAGCACCTCCGCCGCCACCTCCTCCCCCTATGAATATGTCTAGGTCGCAAAGTAGCGACGGTGGAGAGGTTAATTCTTTGGCTGCGCAATTGCAGAATGCGAGACTCAAAAGGAATAGTAAGGTGAGAAAGTTCAATATGTTGCAGAGTCGCATGTAGAGACAAAGGTCTTATTCTCAGAATTAAAAAACTAAGGCTGATACGAAAAATATAAATACTATGTAANCTGAAACTATAAGTTTTCTTTTCTTCCACATTCTCATTAGCTTTATACCACTTTGACATTACAATTCATGTCTTCAAAAACTTTCATTATAATTTTGTTTCCAAGCACCCTATTTTTATATCAACTTTGGAGTTGAAGAAGCTTTAAAATCGAAATTAAAGCCTGTGAAACCTTTTTTCAATATTCAACCGACTGGATATCACTGAAATATCGGGAATGATATTAAAATAATAATTACAGATATTAATAAAATTAACTTCTGGAATGATAAAAAATGATGCTGGCAGAATTTTGCTACCCAAAACTTTTTAGTATTGTTCTTGCATATCCAATTGAATCAATTTAATGTTTTTAGATATTAAGCTCATGAAGCAGATTGATTGTAATGATAATAATAACTGATTATAGTATGCGTATGGCAGACTCCTAATACATTCAATTTTGTATAAAATTTCATGTGTGAAAAAGATATTATGGATTCCGCACAATTTGACTAAAACGCAAAAAATTTGTGTGAATTGGTGTAAGGTTATGATCACACATTCAACTAAGGAAGTGTAAGAAGATCCATATAAAACATTGATAGAAAAGCAAAATGTGGATGAAACATAAACTAAGAAAAAATCAACTGATACAGTATTTTGAGATGAATTGAATTCAACAAAAGTTAGCCATATTGCCATCATTGTTTAGGAGAATCAAAAATATTCAACAATAAATGGTATACAACAATTTGTTGGCCGAAACTCTTCAATGAATTTGGGTAAACAACCTAAAATATTGCATAACTCTTCATTGTGATGGCTCATTGTCTGTATTCTCATGATTCATTGCCTATTTTTGTTTCCCTATGTAGATGATTTTTATCACCTCAATAATAAGAATAATAACTTTATTCCTCTTTTCGATCATTTACATGATATAAGACATGTCATAAATAAAAAATATGAAAATTATATAAATCAATAA